GGGAGTGAAGTTACAATCCACGCGAGCGAGCCCCCAGCCCCGCCGGGGCGCGTGGCCCGGCGCTCCCCCTCCGCCGTCCCGGCCGTCCGGCATCGCGAACACTCGCAGGGATGCAGGGCCGGGGGACCCAGGGGTGGTGCTGAGACCACCTCCCAGCTGGCCCCCAAGCTCCGACTTCCCACTGCGGCCCCGGGCAGGAGAGGGGGTCACTTCGCACGCTTATGTCTCAGACTGATGTCTCTGGGCACCGACTCCCTCCAGGGGCTCTGCGGACTCCCAGTCCAGGCAGTCCCGCCTCCAAGGAGGCCAAGGTCGAGGGGGGTCCCTTGAGTCGTGAGCCTGACTCTGCCTATTTAGATGGCAGGCAGTGTCCTCCCCGGGAGATAACAGTCTCATCCGAGTGCGTGAGCGGACCCCTCACCCAGCAAGAGGCACTTTATAATGACAAGCCAAACGCCAAAGTTGGAGAGGAGAACCAAGCACTACTTCTTTCTATGATGAAGCACAACTGACAAGCTACAGCTGAGCAGATATTTCTAGCAGGCAAGGAGCGCCGCTCACAACTGGAAGCAGCCCAAGTACCACACGCTGGGGCCGGAGCTGAGCAGCTGGGTCTGTTAACCCGACTCAACGCTGCATTACTTCTTGGCAACCGAGAAAGACTATCTAGAAACCGCCACACAGAGCAGTAGCAACCCACAAATAAGCGAACAGCGGAATTCAGAAAGATGAACTGATAGTAACGTGCAGAGTTGTATCTGCAGAATAAACTTGGAAAAGGCCCCTTCCTAAGTAGCTGATCTCTTGAAACGAGGGTGGCTTGCAGTTGTTCCTTTTGCAAATGTGTCTTAGCGGATTCTGTGGAGCTGTAATCTGATGTTTGATTAAGCGTAAAGTATGGATCGTTTCTTGGTTCATCTGCCTATTTAGGGAGAAATGCTTTCCACGATTGCTAACACAGAGAAGCAGGTGTGCCGGAGGCTGTGCACCAGAAATTGACTGGATGCTTAATTGAATATTGGGGCTCTGCGGGAACCAAAGGGGATGAAACGTAGAAGGCGAACCCAAAGGGGCCTGCTTCCTCCCTCCAGGGGATCCTATGCCAGCCTTCTAGCCGTCCAGCCTCCTCAGTATGGTTGCTGAGCTCGGAGGGATCTGCCTGTGGCCAAACTAGAGTCCTGTGCTGCCCGTCCCCACCCCCACCCCAGCATTCCTCACCCCGGGGCTTGGGGCAAACTCTGCTAGTGCTGGGCGGTGGCTGCAGCATCTTTCACCCTCGCTGGAGGTGCAGATGCTCCAGGAACCACGCGCCAGCCTCCTACAGTGCAGCCAGAGGTCAGATTTGCAGGAAAGAGCAGGCAGCTGCCGGACAGTGGTTGTTCAGGAGTTCACTCACTCATCACTCGTTCATTCAAGAGTAGTTGGGCCATCCGGGCACGGATGTGCCGCGGTGACCTCGACCATGCCCTCACCGAATTTAGCTGGGGCGAGGGACAGACTGCAAGCAAATAAACAAATGTGACTTTATACAGGGCAAGAGCTGTAAAGAAAAGGACAGTGGAGGGCCTGCTTTAGGGTGGAGGGTCAGAAAGAGGGTGGTGGTCCCAGAACAGGAGGGCGGGGCGTGGGAAATGAGGGAGAGGGCGGGGCCAGGGCACAGCCACCCCCACCCCCTACGCACCCTCCTCCCCCCAGGTCGGGAGCCTAAGCAAGGACAGACTCAACACTCCCACACCAACATGTGGGAATCTCCAGATTGCACTCTGAGTGAAAGAAGCCCTACACAAAAGAGCACCTGCTCATTTATATCAAGCTCTACAAAAGGAAAACTCATCTGCGGTGCGAAAAATCAGAGTGGTGGCTGTCTTGGGTTGGGTTGGGGCAAGGACTGGTCGGGAAGGGACATAAGGGAACTTTTGGGGGTGATGGTAATGTTTTATATCTTAAGAGGGGACTGGGGACACAAGTGTATGCATTTGTCCCAAATCATGGAATATACAGTTACCATTTGTGCATTTCACTGTATGTCAATTTTACCTCAAAAGAAAAAGCTGCCAACAAATACTGAACTCTACTTAAAGATGTGCGTGCCCAAGTGTCTAGGCAGAAAGGTGTCTAGGCTGTCTGTAACTTACTTTGGAATGTATTTTACAAATCAAGATGGATTGAAGGTAAAGGGATGGATAGATGAACAGACAGATGGTAAAATGAGGATGTAGTTGGCTATTCGTACTCCCAAATACTACATCTGTAGATTCAACCAACCACAGAGAGAAAATATTTAGAAAAAAAACTCCACAAATTTTCAGAAAGCAAAACTTGAATTTGCCTCATGTCCTAGCAACTCTTTACGTAGCATTTACATTGTATTAGGCATTATAAGTGATCTAGAGATGATTTCAAGTATATAGGAAGATGCAAAGTCATAGGTTACACACAAATACTACACCAGAGATGAGGGACTTGAGCATTCACAGATTTAAGTATCCAAAGGGGTCCTGAAGCAGGTCTCCCAGGTTGGCCCACACCACCCTCACTCCCCACTGTGGTCTTCTGCCACCTCTGAGCTGGCCCAGTGCCCAGGGGTCCTGCAGGGGGGAGGGGGGCTCATGGAGAAATTCCCTTGACCACTATGGCCTGATCAGTAGTAGCATGAAGACAGAGAACCTGGGGTCTCAAGGTGCCTCAGCGGCTTTGTCTCCAGAGCTGAGGCCCTGCCTCCATGTGACAGCGGGGATGGAGAAGGCGTTGGAGCTCTGAGGAATTCTCAAGGTCTCTCCAGCCACAGCCCGGCCCCATGGCCCCTGCAGGAGCCAGAGTGCCTCCCCAGCAGGCAGGACCTGTGTCTGTTTAACATGTGATGTGAGGACCCCAAGGGTCTCTCCCCCTGCACCTGGTCTAGGCACTTCCCTCTCAGGATGCTGGGAGGAGCCAGACACTGAGCCAAGCAGTTATATAACTCCAGTTAGCCAGTTTCTTCGAGTCTATAGTTTACTCTGGACGTGGCCTGTGAGAACCCCTGGGGAAGGGCAGGGAAGCACCTGGACTGCTCTAGCTGGGGCCTCTCCCCAGCATGCGCTCCCCAGGCTGAGAAACAGTGAGCAGCACAGCCTGCACACCCACAAACACCAGAACACCTGTCGTTTTGACAAATGCACTTTCCTGTCTTAAAATGTGAGAAGTGGTCTGCTGTCATACACACCACTGACCAGCCTCAGACGTCCTTACTCAGTGAACGAAGCAGGGGGAATCGTCCCAATAATTCTGTGAGCGCTTGTAGAACAAAGAGACCCAGAGATCTTTCTCAGTCCAAAGAGAAAACAGAACCTTCTTTAGAGTTGCGTTTACTGCGATTGAGTTGGGCCAAGGACCACCCCCCTCTCATGTCTCTGCCTCTTTTCCAAAGGCTGCCTGCCTTGAACTTCGATGAAGAAAAGGCTGTTTCACTCTGACCTCAGCTGTGGGACAGACCCGACTGGACCCCCAGGTTTGGAACAAGAGTGGCACAGAACAAATGCCGCATCCAAGCATCACGGCCTTAGTCACCCAATAAGAAACGACCTGTGCACAGCGACTGCAGAGCTCTTCACCTGCAGGGTCCCCAGCCTCTCCCCACCTCTAAAAGCGCCTTTCTTCTACAAGCTGAGGCTCATTTTGCTCTCGTTTCCCATGAAGACAGCCAACCACGACCATTCACCTTCCCATCAGAGCATCTCCATCCGGTGTCTGGAATACAAATCAGCTGCGCTCACCCCCGACCCAGTCCTGTCTGGACTTGGCCCGGCATCCGGCCAAAGTGAGTTGGGCGCCCACCGTCCCTGTGCCACCCAAGGGTGTGTGACGCTAAGCCGGGAGGGCAGTCACCCGGGGGCTGTTCGGTTATCCCATCAGTGATATTAGCGTGACAATGAGGCAGGCATGAAGGGGATGGCAGGGAGAACCAGGAACTGGGCTCCACCACATCTTGAGAGCAGAGGGCATCACTAGGGGGGCGCCATGCAGTGTCTCTACCTCAGAGGGCTGCGTCTCCACTCGGCCTCCTGCCGCAGCTCCCTGAGCGCAGCCAGCCACTTCTCTGCGGCAAATAGCAGCTGCCCGGCCCGTCTGGCACGGCCACTTAGGAGAAGGAGTGGGCAGCAGCTGGGAGTGTTTGGCCACCCCTGGGTACCCGGGTATGCCAGCCGCATCCCCTCCTGGGCCGGGGGCGGGGTCGTAGGCGGGGCGGGGCCGGAGGCAGGGCGGGGCCAGAGGCACTTCAGGGTCAGGAGAGGATGGAGGAAGCCGGGGAAGGAAGGGCCGGCCTCCCTGGGGACCCCGGGAGGGGCCAGCCGGGCAGGCAGCCGATAGTCCATCCCCCTGCAGGCCAGGAGCCAGGGCCGCAGAACACAGCAAGCGAAAGCTGCCCTCTGAATTCAGAGAAGCCAGCAGAGGTGCAGCCGCCGGATGGCCTCCATCTGGCAGCCGCTGAACCGAGCGTTTATAGAACCGAGTTCAGAAGCCCCTGGGAAGCCTGTTTTCAGCGTGTGCCCACGCCAGAGCCACACCCAGGAGGGCCCGGAGAGAAAAAACCTGCAGCCACTTGGAATAACCCAAGAACAGTTAATAAGACAGCTCCTTGCCAGTTACTGTTTCCCCCTAAAGAAGGATTAGAATTATATCGAATTAATTATTTTATAATCTTCGGCTATAAAAACGCACTGTATTGGGAAATGCCCAAACTTAGAAAGAAGAAAAGTTATCTTGCTTGCACCGTCCCAAATGGACGCTGACCACACTTTGGTTTCAGTCTTTTCTGGGCAGTCATTCTGGACATGACCAGGGTCCTTCCCTTTGCAGTTCCACGCTCTGCTTCTTCAAGGAAGATGTCCACACGGGGCAGCACGTATCAGGGCTTCCCCGGGCGTCCGGCTCTGGGGTGTTACTCACACTGGGTTGGACAGAAATGCTGCCCCAGGATCTCCTTAGACTTTTGCTATCTGCCGGGGGTGGGTCGGCATTCGTGTGCACTGGCTACACAACTTTTGTGATTACTGATTTCTGTTTTTCAATCAAATTTTATACTTCTCGAAGTTGGAACTGTTCGGCTTTTACACAACAGAGAGCTGGCAAGATATAGAGCAGGCCCTCAACTACTTGCTGGATCCAGTGACGTTATACTTTCTTGCCATGTTGTTTAGAATGGCTTGCCTTCAGGTTATAAATATGCTACACAGCAGAATGTAAACTCTCCAAGAACAGACCCCTGCCTTGTCCGCTGCGCTACCCGCTGGACCAAGAACAGGGCTCTGCTCAGCGACGTTGCTCAGTAAATATTTGTTAAACGAACATTGTTTTAAACAGTCGTGGTAAGTTTTATGCTCACAGGATGAGCTGCCTGACTGTGGAATGTGTATCATGCTCCTGCTACTTAATGTACCTCAAGTATACTTTTTCTCTACACATCAGTTCCTGAACTGAATTTGTATAAATAAGAATGTTTTCCCAACATCTAAGGAATCTATAATTTGAAGAAATCTTGATATAAAGTATTCTTTTAAAAATGGAGCCTGTTTGACATAGAGAACAAACTTATGGTTACGGGGGTGGAGGGGAGGGAGTGTGGGAAGGGATAAATTGGAAGTTCGAGATTTGCAGATAAACAACTTTATACTGTAGAGCACAGGGAACTATATTCAATATCTATAGTAACCTATAATGAAAAAGAATGGTAAAATGAACATATGTATGTGTATGTATGACTGAAACACTATGCTGTACACCAGAAATTGATACACTGTAAACTGACTATACTTCAATAAAAAAGAATGCAAAAAAATGTTTAAATAAGATTTTGTTATATATCTTAGTTAATTAATGGAACCTGTTTGAAAAGGCAGTTGATGCTCAAATTCACCTTACATATTCTAGACTTTGGTAGCTGTTCACTTGTCTGAGATTTGCCCCAGGAGAAGTGGGTCTGGGGACCCCAAAGGCACAGGAGCTTTGACCAGCGGTAATGTTGTCCCCTGAAATGTGTGTGTGCAGAGGGTGGACCAGCCACAGGGAGGCCCAAGGCCTCTGGCCGGAGCCACCCAGAGAAGCTGATTCCACCTGCCCGGCCACGGATGAGGGTCGAGTCTGTCATATGGGGTCCAAGCCTGAGGGCACAGCAGGGATCGCCCACACATCCTTTCCCTTGGGGCCACCCCGAAGTTGTCTATATGAAGACACTTAGAGCGTGAAGCTTCTGCTGGGCTAGAAGCAGGTGCAGACACCTGGGGGAACAGGCGCTGGGCCTGCATCTACTGGTAACTCTGAACTCAGGCTGAAACAAGCTGAAAAACCCATGAAGGCAGTGTGGCCCTGTGGTTTGAAGAGCGGAGACCATGGGGTCAGAATACGTGGGTTCAAATTCTGTCTCCCACTGACTGACCGTGTGACCTTGGACCAGGGCTTCACTGCTCTGGGCCTCGGGCTCCTCATCTGTAAAACAACTGATAACAATAATCCTTATAAGGATGTGGTGGGGATTAAATAAACTCATTCATGTAAATGGTTCTCAAGCTTTTGAGTCTTTGTTGGACACGCCTAAAAAGGACCGAGGATACCAAAGATACTTTGGTACCAAAGATACACCAAGGATCCTTTTATTTGTGAGTTAGATCTAGAAATACTGACCATATTAAAAGTTGAAATGAAATATTTTTAATTATTCATTCATTTTAAAATTGGTAAGAAAATTATATATATTTATGTAAACTAGCTGTATTTTCCAAAACAAAAAAATAATGACTGAGGATTTCTATAGCCAGCCAAGATGAAGCAGCAGGAACCAGACAAAGTACAGGAAACAACACACAAAATGTAGCAGTGGTTGTTTTTAGTCGTTGACCATCAGGCAGCAAAGGACAGCGGTCCAAGAGACAGGAGATCGAACAAGTGAACCGTGTGCCTGCTCCAGCTGCCTCTAGAGAAACAGTACCTGGCACTCACACGGGGCCAAGAATAATGCCTACTTCCACCAGCCAGACTGGGAAATCCCAGGACAGAAGAATATATAACCCAAGCTGAACACAGAGGGGTAGACTGCAAAAAAAAAAAAAAAAAGAAGAAGAGAGTCCTGGGGACCTGGACATCATCACAAAGTGGTAAGATGTTGACACTCGTAGACTGTTTGTAAGTTATGTGTATATATATATAGCTTTTTAGAGCAACCACTGAAAAAATCTATATAAAGATACTGTGGATAAATCAAAGTGGAATTCTAAGAAAATGTTCAAGGGTTACAGAGGAGGCAGGATAAAAAGGAATCATCTATCAATTCACAAGCACCTTGGATGTTTCTCAAGAGCAAGTGAAAAAAGCCAGTCTTCAGAGATTACATACTGTGTGATTCTGTTCATGGAACATCCTTGAAATAACGGAAGTATAGAGAAGGCAGCATAGTGGTTGCCTGGGGTTAGGAGTGGTTGGAGCAGGGGGTAAACATGACTGGAAAAGTTTTCTGGTCCATTAACATGGGCTGGCTTTCCATTCACTTAGATTTCCTTTCATTTCACTGAACGATGTTTTGCAGTTTTCAGTAAACAAGTCTTGCACTCCTTTAGACAGTTTATTTCTAAGCACTGTATTCTTTGGGGGCATCACTGTAAATAGAATTACTTTATTTCCTTTTCAGATTTTTCATTGCTAGTGTATAGAAATACAGTTTAAATTTGTATACTAATCTTGTTCTTCAATCCTGCTAAATTAATTAATTCTCATAGTTTCATACAGGATTCCTTGAGTTTTTCCATATGCCAGATGGCATGTACACATAGAGACAGTTTCACTTCTTCCAGTCCTGCTGCTTTTTATTTATTTTGCTTGTCTTTTTGCCCTGGCTAGAACATCCAGTACACTGTTGAACAGAAATCTTGTTCCTGTTGAGGCTTTCGTAAGTAAATATATTAGCTGGAGTGTTTCATAGACCTCCTTTGTCACACTGAGGAATCTCCCTGCCGTTCTTGGTTGTTTGTATGTTCTATCATGAAATGTGGTCAGCGTCTGTCAGATGCCTGTCGTGCCTCTGCTGAAAGGATCATATCACTTTTGCCCTTTAGTCTGTCAATGTGGTGTATTATGTTGATTGATGTTTGTATATTATTCCAATCTTGCATTCCTGGCATAATCCCACTTGGTCACGGTTGTGATCCTCTGTACATGTTGCTGGATGTGGTTTCCCAGTATCAGCTGAGGATTTGTGTGTATATTCATAAGAGATGTTGGTCCGCAGTTTTCTTTTCCTGTGATATCTTTCTCTGGTTTTGGTATTAAATACTTGGTCTCATGGTGTGAGTTGGGAAGTGCTCCCTCCTCTTCTGTGTTTTGAAGAGTTTGTGAAGGATTGGTATTAATTGTTTAAATGTTTGGTATAATTCTCAAGTGAAACTCTTAGTGTTGGATTTTCCTTTGTGGATAGTTTTTGAATTGCTAATTCAATCTGTTATAGGTCTATTCAGACTTTCCGTATTTTCTTGAGTTACTTTTGCCACTTTGTGTTTCTATGAGTTTGTCCATTTTATCTAGATTATCTAATTTACTGGTGTAGAACTGTTCACAATATTCTCTTATAATCCTTTTATTTCTGTACGGTTGATAGTGATGCCACTTCTTTCGTTTCTGATTTTAATTTTTTTTTTTTTGGTCAGTTTACCTGAGGTTCATCAGATTTGTTGATCTTG